TTTCCCTCACTGCCTAAATCCATAAGCTTGTCTACACAGGCACAGCACTGCAACAGCAAGCTCCGAACCAGCAGCTGCTCTGCACCAACTCCCCACCCTAAAAACCCGCTGTAAGTGCACCACAGACAGAGTGCCAAGGAGGGAACGGTACTCTAAGTTTAGCAACATGAATTTTGCCCCAGATCATTGTGAAGCTGCTACCACCTGACTCCCAGACATTTCATAATGTATTTTTAATAGGCTTCTTACATTTAAAACATTTCGGCAATATCCTGATTGCCATTCCAAACCCCAGGCAAGGCATTGCCATTCCTTTGAGCACCTAAGCTAATTCTTGAACCTTTTACTAATATTTCAATCCAGTTTGTCATTCATATAAATATTTTTATCACCCAAGCAAAAGTTCTAGCTTTAGGATGAGTCTTTCTGTTATACCAGCTCGGAATTTTCACGTAGAATTACAAGAAAATTTGTTAGATTTACAGTTCTAAGTTACCCTGTTCTTGGCCAAAGTTTTTAATGCACAGAAATAACACCCTCTCCAGGCAGAGCGCTGTAGCATCTCCAGAGTTAAATTAACCTTAAAAGACACTGTATGTCTTCCTAGTGAAAGAAACACAGAATCTACCAAAAGCTAGATTAGTAATGACAATTAAAGACAAGCAAAGCAAAACAGCTAAAAACTATTCTGTGAAAGCCTTGCAGTAATAAGAACATCAAAGTGAAAAAGAACAGCTTAAAAAAAGACATTTCAGAAAAAGGGCAAATTAAGCGCTATGGGGAAGCACATTTCATTGAACACACAGGGTCTTACCGATCAACACAGTGACCTCACGATGGGATAGAGGCCACTTAAGAGCACAATTTGCATAACAACCAAACTTGAAGTTTCTAGGACAAATCTTTTAGAAAATACTGCATGAAAGCAGTTCACTGATTTTCAAGTAATTTTAGAAGATAAATATTCAATAATTGATTGAGCCAAGCATTTGTTTGCATAAGACACCAGAGCCCATGCTCACATCCACCACCTTCAACTTGAGCAGGATACAAGTTGGGCAGATTCAAATTTCATTTTGAGGAGTCCAAGAGTTCCAATGCAGCTTTTGTCCCAGCATTAACCACAGAGCAATGACACTTCCAGACAAGATACTCCATACCTAGGAGCATACTTTCCACTCTGAAATCAGATGCCTGGAACAACAGTTTTGATTATAAGAACAGTGCCCAAATCACTACATTTCTTCCTGTTATAAAATGCACACACATGGTGTTTATTTGAATATCAGCCTTCTGAGGAGATTTAAGTGCAGAAGAGGAGAATCCCATATACAATTCTGAGCCCCACCACAAGCAAGTTACACCAGCAGCCCAATCCAGACCATTAGGGTACCTTCCTGCACACATACTCTGCTGAAGAGAGGATTTCTATAAGAGGCACATCACCCTGGAACACAAGCCTCTGCTCCCCAACTCTACCACTCACACCTTTCTGCTCTTAACACGTGCAAGCTCGAGGTTTAAGCCAGAAGTCAATAATGAGGCCAGTAAATCTTCAATTAGCAAAACCTCAACTCCTGGGATCTCTATTGTGGTTTGCACAGCTTTCACCTGAGCAGGAGGAGCAGCACAATAAACCCCAGGGCTGTTGTCATACTGTTTTTCAGAGCTCCTCTGGCACTACAGCTTTCAACACACACACCTTCAAAAATGGACAAGATTGTAAATGCAAACCCAAACTAGAAATATTGTCTCATTAAAATTCACGTGAATTTCCACATTAATAGGTGGGAATAAAGAACAGTATCAAGACCCATCCTGTTCCAATGTACTTGTACCTTGGCTTTATTGCTGGCTGTGCCACTGACCCAGTGGGACCTTCACAGTTTTCAGGGTACACCCATTAGGGGTTCCAGAGTCAGAGCTACCAGGCCAGGGCTTTTCCACCAAAACCAGCACATCTTGCTGCTGAACCACTTTGACACAAGCCGTATTTTACTGATGTGATACTCACAGAGTAACAACAACTCAAGAATCCTGAAGTGCACATGCACTTATCCCCATCTTCCACTTACTCACAGTTGTAAACCCAAGGATAAGAGCTCATAAAAGCTGAGTAGATGAGGATGTGGCCATGAACTTTCCGGGATGGAAAGACAAATTACTGTAAGATTTCTTTATTAAACTCACTGCTAACACCCAGCAAGTGCAGCAAAAGCTGAGGTCAGAACAATTTATACAGGTTACTCTTCAAACAACTGTCACAGCTGGTCTCACTCCTGATAGTACTGGTATTCCCCTAAGCTCCCAAATCTTCTCCACTTACAGCTCTCTACACAGCTCTCTGTATTGTCAAACCACAAAGCACTACAAGTTTTAAACGTATTTTTCACATTATGATCACCCACACAAAGGGATTAACTAAAGCATTAAGAAAATCTTTATCAATTCAGGACAACAGGAGCCATTTGTCAGGCACAGCCAAAGCTCCAATCTGCACAGATGCCTATTATTTTTAGAGCGCGACATTCCTAAGCCATACCTCCATCAAAAGTACTTCCCTAAAGCCATGCAGGCTCTTCTGAAATTTGGAACAGCTTCGCTGGCTCAGGTCTGTCAGAGCTGTGGCTGTTCCAGCATCAGAGAGCCCCCAGTACAGACAACTCTGACCCTGCACTCCCAAACCAAAGAGCATCATGAGGCTTTTATTGAAGCTGACAAACCCCTGTGCTCGAGCTTCTGTGTTTTTTGTACACTTCCTAAATGCACAGCCACATTTTGAACTTACAGGATGGCATCTTCCAGTTAAAAAAACACGTCAAATCAATATTTCCCCACACACACACACTCTTGGCTTTACCCCACTGAACCAACTTCTTTAGGTGCGCTTGAAAATGCTTGATGGAAGATTAAAAAGTTCCCAATTTATGCTTGAATTCAAAGAAAGAAGCAACATCTACCCAAAGAAAAAAAAAAAAAAAAGATAAGGGAGTCCAAGCAGCCCCTAAGAGTGTTCTTTCAACAGTTGTTTTGTCTTCTGGTTCTTTTCCCCTGCCTTTTTGGTTTTAATTTGATCATCTGTTGACCATCAGTCTCACCTGTAAGGAAGGAGGTTACTCCTTCCTAGTAGCAGTAAATCCTTTGAAAATTACATTTCAAGACAACTAAATTAAAAAAGCCAAAATTTATAACACAAAGCCCTCCATTTGATACTTGAAGCTTCTAAACTCCTAACGTGAACAAAGGTGCTGATTTTCTTTTTAGTGAAAAGTCAAACACATCACAACTTATCACAATCCAGCAACAATGAAGGAATCAATAGACACGCCAAGGCTTTGCAATTCCATTTCCAACACGATCACAGCCACAATGCCATCCTGCAGACAGGGGATTTCAAACTCTCTAATGCAAATTTATGTCTCTTAACCATACCCAAGAGGAACACAAAGTTGTCAGGGATTTACAGGACAGGTATATGGTTCCAACAAGGTAGCTGAGTGTGATATTCCCTCACCAACATGGAATAGGTGCCTGAACTTCTTAAACTAAAGATTGCTGTTAAAACAGCAGACTAAGAACACAGCCAGAAAAAAAAAAAAATCACTCCTGACCATCTGGTGATCATTAAGCTGAGAGCACCTTCCCTAACAAATTACCTGGAGGCAGGAACAGATTATCAGCCTTCGAGGCACTCCAAGCATGAAACAGAAACTGTTTTCCTAATAATTTCCTAATAAGAATCCTTGCTATACCACTAGAACATTCTGTGAGAAGAAACCTAGTTGTCCAAGGAGTAAGAGCAAAGCTGTCTGAGTTCAGGGCCTCACAGCTCACTTCATCAAACCATCATGGACAGAAGCATTTTTGTTTTAACTGAGTTTGAGCACTTTTTAGACTCACTTTTATTTCCCAAAAACAAAAATGTGATGACACGAACCAAATTTGCTTCAGGACTGTCCAAATCCCGTAACACAAGTGTCAGCATCAGATTTTTAACTCATTCTGTACTGGGACATGCCTGGGTTCCATCTCTTCATCCAACTGGAATCAATGGTGAGACAAGCCAGAGCTTTGAGATTATTTCTTTTTTTTTAAGCAGACCATCTGAACAACCTCCAGGAAGCCCACTAAAGTAGTACAACTGTGGCGGTTCAGTTTTCAATATCTGCAGTTTGCTGCCTATCAGTTCTCAAACAGTGACTCACCGAGTTCAAAGAGGGCCAAAGTTTAAGAGGCCCAGAAGTTACCACACAGAAACACAATCTCCTAATATTTGTGTTCTGGTAAATATCATCTCTCAAGGAAGTTTGAAAACAAAGTAAACAGGAGATGCTGGAACAAAACGTAGCTGAGGTAATCACCATGAAACACACTGTCAAAGGCGTAATCAATGTAAAAATAAGAAGGTTCACCGCGTTTAATTCAACACAACTCCTGACAGACTCAGAAAAAAAGGGTTTCAAGAATAAAGCATCATGACCTCTCAGAGAATAGTGCAAGAGTTCAGCCAAAATTAGAAAGGCACGGATGGCTCCAGTAAAGACACAGAGGGGGAACAACACACGCAGGTAACTCTGAACCCCAGTGTGCGGGTTCAGCCCTCACCTGACGCCGCTCGTCCGCACCAGGTGATATTGCGGCTCACGGGGGATCGCCCTCCCCACAGCCACCACCTGCCTGCGGGCTGCCAGCACAGCAGCACATCCCAGTGCGCCCAAAAACAAACACCTTCCCTTCCCAGGCTGCCCGGGGAGCTCGGCGAGTCTCCCTCTGCGGACACGTTCAAAGCCCACCTGGACGCGTCCCTGTGTCACCTGCTCCCGGTGGCCCTGCCTGGAGGGGGGAGAAGGGAAACTGGGGGGGGGGCACTGCTTGATCTCCAGAGCTCCCTTCCAATCCTCACAATCCTGTGAGCCCTCTGGGCCCCATCCCCGCATCCCCCCCCCAAGGGAGCGCTGCCCGAGGTGCGGCCCCGGCGGGGTTGAGGGGTCGGCACTCACCAGAGCAGGGCGCAGAGCAGGAGGCAGGAGCCCAGGGCCAGGGGCCGGCGGGGCGGCTCCCTCATGGTGTCGCGGCTCTCCCGGTGCGGGCCGTGCAGCGGCTCATCCTCCCTCAGCCCCGGCGGTTCCCCCTCCCTCAGCCCCGGCCCGGCGGCTCCCGGAGGGCGGCGCGCGGCCCCTCCCCGAGCGCGGCGCGAGCGGCGGCACGCGCTGCCTGCGGGGCAACGGCGGCGCCTGCGCACGAGTCCCCCCCCCCCCGCGCGCGGGCCCGGCCGTTACTGTCCCCTCCCGGCCCCGCCCCTTTTCCCCCCCCTTGAGCGCTGAGCTGGAAGGACGCGCGTCACACCCCGCTCCGCGCCGCCAGCCAATGGCCGGAGCGCTCCTAGCGCTGGCCCCGCCTCCCGGCCCCGCCGATTGGGCCGTGCCCGTGGCTGTCCAAGGGCCCCCTCCGTGAGGTGTCCGCGTCAGGAGGGCCGTTAAAGGGAAATCGCTGGCGGCTGGCGGCCAAACCCGAGGCCGCGGAGCTCACTTAAACTGTCACTGCCTCCGCTCCGAGGGACATTTTAGGCAACGGCTCTCCGACGCGACAGCTTTAAATTTTTTTTTTTTTTTGATCAGGCTTCTCTGCAGGCTGCCGAGCACGGAGGCCCCCCCCAGGGGGTATGCGCGCGGGGGCTGCCGGGAGTTGTAGTTCCAGGCGGGAGGACGGTGCGGCACCGGCCGCCATTTTGCGGGCACCTGAGGGGGCCCGTGAGGGGCAGGGAGGTCGCGCCCCACTCCGTGTGTGTGAGGGGCCATCAAGATGGTTCGGTGCATGTTTATATCCACTATGCGATCGGGAGCCGAGCACAGCCAGGGGCCAGTTGGGGAGCGCTGCTGGGGGATGCTCAGGGAATACAGGGCACTCTGAGGGTGATGTGCGACAGAAGTGGGGAGCCTTCCCTGGCACTGGCACGTTTGTCTGAACTGGTAGAAAAACACAACAGTTGTCATCAAAAACAACAGGCATAATTCTGCCCATCTGCAGTGTGGCTTTACACGGAGGCAGGACCGCCATCCTTGCGGCTCACGCACAGCTCGGGATTGTGTTCCCAAGGCCGGGAGGCGCGGCGGGAGCAGCGGGGCAGGGCACGGCACAGGTGGAGCAGTCACGGGGCTGCCACGCTGGAAACGTGCACATGCCGGGACTCTGGACGAGGAAGGACAGCTCTGCCTGCGGGGCGGGGGTGACTCACGGCAGGATCAGCGCCCTCCCAGCTCACAGCTGCTGTTTTCCCCAGAGCAGCCCCAGCCCTGTCACCCTTGGAGCCTTCCCGGATGCCTGCAGGGCTCAGTGTGGGGCTGCAGGAGCGCTGGAAACCTCTGGAGAGTCTTTATATCTGTGCTTTTCCTGATTTTTCACCCTGTAACTCTGTGCTTTTGTTAACACCTGGCATCCCTTGCCCTTCCAAGAGCTCCACGTGCCACAGACAGGCCTGCATCGCAACCCATGGAGGAGAAGGGATGAGGGAGAAGCTCCAGTTTTGTGCCCCACCTCCCCACAGCTGGTATTTAAATCCCTCTCCCAGCGAACCACAGACCATCCTGTGACAGACACAGCCTGTCCTGCAGTGCCTGAGGAGGGGGCTGTCACAGGAGAATCCTCGGTGCACCCCTGATATGTCTGTTTGGAATGTGGGGGGATAGCAGCACAGCTGAGAGCCAAAGTGCAAAGCAGTGCCCTCTGCCCCACACCTTGCAGCTTAGCCAGAACCCCAGGATCACTGGGGTTGGAAAAGAGCTCTGGAGATCATCCAGTCCAACCCTCCTTCCAAGGCAGGGTCACCTGGAGCAGGTGACACAGGCTGGGGGGGGGGGTCTCTGAGGGAGGGTTATGAGCAGAGGTACACTGGGGAAGGCCCAGCTGTTCCCCCAGGAACCCAGAGCAGGGCCATGAAAAGCCTCTGTGCCCAGGGACACGCCTCCATGCTGGCCACAGGGAGCTGCCTCAGCGGTGGGAAATTCCCCGAGCTGTGGGAGCAGTGGTGCATGTTCCACCTGCAGCTGTTGTAACCACACCAGGGAGTGCCACAGCTCTCCCTGCGGGGCTGGAGGGGGCAAGGAGACGTGAGCTCTGGCTGCAGGTGTCTCCCTGTGCCTCCTGCCTGGACATGACCCCCAGGGAGGTGTGTAGGACTTGTCTCAGTTGTGGATGCTGCCAGAGTTTCACCCATGGACACCTCACCCCGCAGGCACAGAGCATTCCCCCATCCCACAAACTCTGCTCATTGGGGATGGCCAGGACCAGAGCAGCGGAGAAATCTGTCCATGAAGCATTGGAAATTCAAACAACTGCTCAGCTGTCTGCTGGGAGAGATGGTAAACATTTATTAACCCGTTGCCAAGTGCTTCCATACAGAGCACTTCCCTCAGCACTGCCATGACGTGCGGCTGGGACCGTCTCTGTTGTGAGCCTCTGCTGTGCTCCCGGGACTCTAATTCCTCCAGCCTCATCTCCAGGAGCTTTTCCCCAGGAGCAGGGCAGAAGGCTGTGAAGCCACACTGGCTCAGCCCGTGCAGATGCTCCCTCCTGGCACAGCTCCCGCACGCTACGATCCCGTTACCAGCGGGAGACTGATCACCACAGCTCAGAGCAAACACAGCTGAAGAGCTGTCACAGAGCACAGATCGTTTCAGGGGAACTGGGGCAGTGACTGGTCAGGATCCTGGAGGAAAAGCCCCCTCAAGTCAGTCCCCACCAGACAGGAGCCGAAAGAGCCTGGGTCAGCCAGGAGGGGGTTTCAGTGCCTCACCTGTGACACACCCACATCGCAGTGCTTGCTGAGCTTGTTTCTCAGCTGCTGATAAGATGAGCAGTATAATGGTAAAAACAATTGCAGACCACCCAATCTCTCAACTAGAGCCCATAATTAACCCAAAACCCAATGGACTGTGGGGTTACCAGGGAGCAAGTATTTGCACGGGATTCCCAAAGTTGCTGCACGTTTGCAGCAAGGTGTTTTGGCTTGCTCTGGGCCAAATTTCTCATGGAAAACCCTAGGAAAATCCTACTGGCTGTGGAGTATCTCCTGGAGATTTGGGAACAGAGGCCATGGAGCAGTGTTTGACTTCTGGAGGGACACTTGATCCTGGGGTACACACTGGGCCTTCTCCTTTCAGCACTTTCCAGCTCTTGTTTGCTGCAGTGGCTAAGACTTCTCTCCCATTCACCCCTATCTGCTCTTTACAAAGGCTTCTTGTTTTACCAAGTGCTGGGTTTTTGTTTGGGTTTTTTTGTTTGTTTTTTTTCCACGTGTGATTTAATTCACACAAACTCCTTCCTATTCTGACTATTGATCTTGGCTCCTTACTGGTTAAAATAAAGTAAATCTTTCATAAGCAGGTTTTGACAACGCAACTTTTGTCCCTTCCAGACACAATTTCCTGTTTAATTTCCTGACTGTTTCTTACCTGGTAAAGTTGTAAATTGCAAGATTGCTTCAGAGACCTTTCTCTGACTTTAGATGAACCGTTAACCACTTGCAGGAGACAATCCAGCAAACCAGCATAAAACTTTTAAAAAAATCCTCCATTTCTTTTATTTCTTCTGCAGTTCTCACTGAAAGGAAACAAGCTGGCAGTGGGGAGGAAAGGGGTTGGAATATTTCTCCTTGGAAAATCAAACAGGAGCAACTCTGCCTCCAGCTGAGTTGATAATTGCTCTTTCATCACTCAGCAAACTGTCTGTGATCCGTGGGCTGAGCCTCTGCTGTCCCAGATGTGGGTCCCGGACATGCCCCTGCACGGACGCTGATTCCCGCTCCCACATTCCTCTGAATCCCGAGGGCGGTGACCGCGGTCACAGTGACCAGCTGATCCAGCTGCAGATTCCCGGATCACCGAAGTGCTGGCCGTGCACGGAGCCTCGTTAGGGTTAATTAACGTGGGCCGGCGCCGAGGAGCGTCTGGGCAGCTCTTGGCAGGGGGGGAAGGCGGGACAGGGTGACATCCAGCAGGGGCCGTGTGACCCGGTGCGGGAGAGAGCGCTCAGATCTCCTGCCAGCCCAAATCCTGCCTGGAAGAGCCTTCAAAACTGGCACAGGTGACACAGTGCCACAGCTCCCAAAGCTCGGACGGAGCCGCAGGCAGGACAGCCCCTTGTGTGGCTCGTGGGGGGCACAGCCAGGCCCAGGTCTCCTCCACCTGGCTCGGAGCCCCCTCTTCGGTGGCTCAAACACTCACAGTCCAAACTTTAAGTAGGATGAAGAAAATTAATCGAGATGGAAATGCCACTTTTGAAAACATTTGTATTTGATTTGCTCACTTCATGTGGCTTCATTTAAACTATAACTTTGCCTTATAGTTCATAGTATTATCACTTGCCATCACCAAGTGATGGCTCCAGCGGGGATGCCCAGGCAGGGTACAGCAGGAAGGCTCAGCATCTCCCGGCCCTGTTTCAGAACCACAAAGCCTCTGCATGACAGAAAACACCATTTCCTACAGCCAGTGCTTGGGAGCAGATAGAAAATGGCTTCAAGAAGGGACCCACCTTCTCCTAGCCCAGCTGGCAGCTGTTTTGGGTACAACCTTCAGCAGCATCTCAGCTCAGTGCTGTGACACCAGTGCAGAGGCCACTGCCTGCTGGAGAAGACAAACGTGGTCGGCAGCTGAGGAGCTTCTCTTGCCATCTGACAGGGCTGGTGGAACAGGGAAAGTCCAAACGCTCCTGGTAGCTGACACACAGGCAAGCAAAGTTAACTCTTGGTCACAGGATGGAAATGTGGTGTGGGCCCAGGGGCTGGCAGTGGGTGCCTTGGTCCTCCCGGGTTCTTCCCGACAGCTGCCATGTGAGCCCCCCTGGGAAAAGAGAATGCAGAAACTGAGAAAGGGCAAAACTTCACGATGGAGGTGTAAAGCTTTTTTTGGCCCTCGTTTCTGGGAGGACAGCGTGGGTTGAAGCTTCCCCTGCCCACTTCACCTTCTCATACGAGGGCTGGGAAAGCACCCGGTGCAATCCAGTGCTGGGTTCCCTCCATGGCCACATGCAAACCAAGGCCAAAGCAGGTGATCCCACAGGTCAGCAGTGCCAGGAATGTGCTGGGAGGGTGGCACAGCCTGTGCAGGAGCAGCAGCACCTCCACTAGACCCAAGTGGTGGGGATGAGAGATGAGAAGACCAGCCAGGCACACACAGAAGGCCATGGGCTCAGCTGTTTCCCTTCCCCTTTCTCCCAGCTACTAAAAGAAACTAAATTCCCATCTGGCTCCATCCCGTCCCTGGCAGATACTTAAAAACAGGGAGACGAGTGCAAGGGTGGCTGGTAGCAGGAATGTCACTCCTCAGGGCCCCACACGTTCCCAAGGGAACATGCACGTCTCGCAGGGCTGGGCCCCAGGACTCTCCTTCCCTGTGTCCCAGAGTAGGACAAGCTCATGTTGCAGGCAGAAGTGCTCAGCCCTGACATCACACTGCTCTTCCCAAGCACATGGGCTCCTGCTTGGAGGCTCACGGGAGGAGGGCAGGAAGGGCTCCTGGGGTAAATATCTCCTGTGAAATCACTGTGTTTCCAGGCTGAGGGTTAAGGTTTGAACAAAGGCTTCTTTACCAGGCAAATAGGAAGGTGAGCACAGAGAGGAGGATCCTCTCGCAGTGCACCAGGCTGAAGTTACAACCTCTTTTTGACCTGTGCACACCAAATTTTGCCCCAGCTACACTTCCTGTAAAAGTGTTTCATCCCCCATCGCCCTCCCCATTTACAGAACAAAAATATTCCCTGGGCAGACAGTAAAACCCCGTTAAGAAACTCCAGGTCCCTTCACACCTCTTGCTGTGTGTCCCAGAGCTGCAAGGGGAAGGAAGTGGGTGCCATATGAGGTTCAGGGTGACGGAGAGACAGGGGAGCTGGTGTGTGGCTGCAGCCACAACCAGCCTGGTCACCAGCTCTTCCCAGTGCTACGTTCCTTTTACAAGACCCTCCTCACTCCTGAATCTTGGAATTTTTCACCTTTCAGCTTCCGTGCCAAGCCATGGGCAGGCAATGGTTTGGTTTTCTCCCTGTGTCTTTGCCTTAGGGATGTGCCACTTACAGCTGAGGGCTGAGCAGAGCTTACCTGGGCAGCTGAAGGTTGGACTTGGCCCACCTTGGAGCACCCTGGAGCTGGCAGAGCACCCTGCTGACATCCAGTTTCCTAGGGTTTGGGAAACTTTTTTAAAGCAGATTAGAAAACAAAAGCATCTTTTCTGGGTGATATCTTGGCCTTCATGGAGTCCCCCCACAGAACAGGCCCCTGCTGCCCCTGCCCTGGAGCTGGGCAGGGCCCTGGCTGGGCTGGCTTGTGCCTCTCCCCAGAGCCCAGAGTGGGCAGTGGGGAGGGTGTTTTGCCATGGGGCTTCTCTGATCCATGCTGACTGTTGGGAAATGCCAGGACTGAGGGAGCTCAGTTTCACAGCTGCCCCACATGCCGTGACTTCCAGAGGTCACACCCCTGCAAGCGTGTGCCTTTCCACATCTCACCTCTCCTACCCCAGGTCCTCAAACAAGTTCTGCAGCAGTCTTCACATCCTTCTCCCTCTGCTCAGTGAATCCTAAACCTTGTCCTGGCAGATTCCAGTCCAGCCTGGGCTCCTCAGACCCGATCCCAATTTCCTGGACTGCTCTGCCCAGCCCCGAGCAGCATCACTGGGTTTCTCCAGGAGCCTTTGCACTTCCTCATCTCAGCTTATTGTCTGGGAGGGTACAAGTTCCCCTTGCCTGGCTGCTCCTTCCCACTGCCCTTGTTCTCCCTTGCAAGCTCCCAAGCCTTGCTCACCCTGTCCCCTGTGTCCCTCAGATGGTGCACAAGGGAAAATGGCATCTCACCAGCATTTAGGTCCTCTCTGTCCTGAGTAGGGGCCGTCCACCCGGGGATGCATCTATGGGGTCTGCAGCAAATTTCCAGTTTGCACCCTGGGGCAGGATCCTCTCCATGGAACAGGGAGCTTGGACAGTGATACCAGTGACATCCCCACCAGGAGCTTCTAGTGTTCCCATACTGTCCAGCCTTGGGATAGGAGACCCGTGTGGATCATGGCACACTCCCTGCCCTGCAGCACATGGACAGACAGGGGGGCCTCTGCTGAGCCTGCAGGGGACTCACCTGAGCTTGCAGGAAGGTTTCCTGGGGGATGGCAGATGCTGTGGAGGACAGGAGGGCTCAGGGGTCAGGGCAGTGAGGCCTGAGCAGGAGCTGTGCCAAAGGGTCTGGGAGCATCCCTCGGTGTCACGGGCTGCCCATAGCAAGGACATCGCTGCACAGGGGCTGCACCTCCTGCCTCACACACTCCTGGGAGGTTTCCCTGGGACTGGAACACAGACCTGGATCCAGGGAATCTGACCTGCACACAAGGAAAGAAGAGGCTTGGGAGAGCTGGAGCAGCACCGAACTGCTCGTGTCCAGGCATGCTCCTGCAGGGTACCCCAGGGCAACCAGCCCTGTCTGCTCCAGTATCCCACCATGGAGCTCAGATCATCTGCAAGGCACTGGGCTGGGATTGTCCCACTCTGTGCTGAGGACTGAATCCAAAAAAATCCTTAAATAGGTGATTGCAGGAGAGCAGACACAGCCTGTCTCGTGGGGCCATTTAAGGCAGGAGAGGATCTCTGGATGTGGAAAAACTCAGCAGTTGGAATTGCGCCAACCTCCCCCCCTGAACAGCATTCCTGGGGAGGGAGGGTTTGCTCCAGGGTCAAAGGGGGAGGCTGGGGGATCTCCTGGCAGAGAACCAAAGCCAGAGGGCCCATCACTGTGCTATGTCACCCTGTGGAGTGACATGGGAGGGATGCAGGGGAAGAGCCCTACCCGAGGGACAGGGTGAGGTGCAGAATCCATGTGCATCCTCACAGTCCCAGGCAGGCTCAAACCCGTAGCAGACTGTGCTGTTTAGTTATCTTGAAGCCTCTTTCTGTGGCACAAGTGATGGTCCCACCCCACAGAGAATCAGACACGCCTGGAGGCAGCCCCAAGCTCGCAGTGGGGGTGCAGTGCCCGGGACAGTTTGATATTCAGATATCTCCAGTGGAGGTCTAGATCAGTGCCAGCTATATCAGTCCCAGCCTGCCACCTTCTCCAGCCTTCCTTCCAAACAGCCTTAGCAGTGTATTCAAACATTCAGAGCCCAGCAGACATGAAACAAATCCCCAGTGGGGTCCCTTTGCCAAGCCAACGGGTCCTCAGCATACTCAATGCTTGTAGTGCCATGACATCCAGCTCCTCATTCCTGCATTTCAGCAGAGGGGCTCGAAGCACTCACCATCTTACAGTCTCTCCAGAGGCCAGTGGCGCTTGGGAACACATAATCATGAGGTGAGGGAGGTGTTGTGTCACGGAACCCAGAGTGGGAATTAAGATACTCACAAACAGCTCTTGCATCCTTGACCTTAGCTCCTACTTGTCCCTGCCAGGAGAGCTCTGCTGGCCCCATAGCCCCAGGAGGGCTGAGGGATGACGTGAGGGATGACTCCACAGCACGTGTTCCCCTCTGTCCAGCAGGGACTGACGCTGATGTGGCAGGTCCCGTGCTGGGTCCTGCCTGTTTTGCAGGCAGAGGAGTCATTCATCTGCAGGTAAAATCTGGGCCACCTGGGCAGGGCTGAGCTGCCCTTTGCACCGTGGGCGGTGTGTTCACACGTGGCTGAGCACGCACTGTCCCCTCCCAGGGGACCCGGTGCCAGCACAGCAGTGGCAGCTGCTGCTCCCCAGAGCCCACTGGGGTCCCCAGGCACCAAGTGGGCTACGGGCCCTGTGGGTCTTGGCACTGGGTTGGCACTGCCAAGGGCGCAGACCCAGTGCCAGGGTGATCCCCTTGTCCAGGGGCTGGGCATCCCATGGGGAGCTACAGCCGCAGCTCCTGGAGGGTTTTGCTTTGCTGCCACCATGGCTGGCATGGCCCAGCACGGCTCAGGGGTGCTGCCAGTCCCCAACCAGAGCAGGCTCCCACCCTCCCTGCCTACAAGGAGGACTTGGGTGGCCCACAGCAGAGACTTCAAGGGACACAAGGAGTACCCTTCACCTATATTCTTTCTCCCCTTTCCATCAGGGTTTCCGGATGGACCTGACCACATGGAAGCAGCCTTGTGCCCCAGCCCCAGCCCAGCCTGCTTTTCCTGGTCCCCAGAGCATCGCAGATACGCACAAGACCCCAGGGCCATGTCACACCAAACCTGCTGTCAGCACTCCCAGCGAGAGCACAGCATTGCCCTGCCAGTGCCCACGGGTGTCCCTCCTCCGTGGTGGCTGTGGCACTTCTCAGGGGAGCAGGAGTGGCAAACTGCCCTCCTAGATTTCCTCTTGCGTGTCCCAGCTTTACTCCATGACTTCAGGAGGACGTTTTGTTCAAAATATCAAGTTCCCAGACCCTGGGCATCCAGGCAATGCCAGCAATCACAGGAGCTGGCAGAACTCCCTGTCCCTGCGGGCACCCGCTCGAGCATTTGGAGGCACACACAGCTCTCTGCAAAGAATGGGGCTGGGGGCTTTTAGGTAGGGCAGCTAAAACTGAGTCCAGCTCCATCCTGGCTTGGAAGCTGCTGGCATCACCCTCAGCATGGAGTACCTGCACAGGGTGAGCAGCTGCTACTACCCTGCTGAGGAAGTACAGGGATATGGGGCTGTGGTGTGGCTCAGTCTGAGGCCCCCCAGAAAGGCACACCAGGAGTGTGGGGGTTACCTGCTGCTCTGCACGTATCTGGATGAGGTGGGATCCTGTTTGGAGAATCCCCTGTGGCAGACGCTGGGGTGAAAACAACCTTCAGCTCTTTCACCTGCTCCCACCGTGACAGGACAGCCACAAATGCCCCTTCCCAAAGCACAAACAGGACAGTGTTCGGGGCTGCTTTACCCTGGGCTGAGGCCTCTCAGCTGAGGCCAAAGTAAGCAAGCAGCTCCTCAGCAGCAAGCATCTCTCCGGGGCTGGGAAGGCTCTGACCTGAGCACAAACAAACACAGAGTTAGGGAAAACACCTCTGGCCTCTGTGAAACCTCCCTGCATCCCTTATTATGCCCCTGTCCCCTTGCTACACACTAGCTCAGCCCCTTTGGCTCGGGATTGGGCAGGGCAGGAGATGGATGTCCCTGTAGAGCTGCACCTCTCCAGCCCTGCTCAGCCACGACTTCTCCCTTCCCACCTCCTGCTCCACTCTCGAGGGGGCTGGCAGGCTCCAGGAGCAGAGCAAGACTGAGCTGTGTGCAGGCAGGAGCTTCAGGGAAGGGCACCGTGTCCTCATACCATCACACCCAGATTCCCCACCTGGCTGCTGGTTTGGCCAGAAAAGCGGGTACCTCGCTGGGCTGGAACGGGGAGCGGGGCTTGCAGCACAGGCTGGGGTCACGCACCCAGCAGCAAGGCTGGACACGCACGGGGATGTTCAAGCACAGGGAGGACCCGGCCAAATCCCATCGACCGGCAGTGCCCTTCTCCGTGGCCGCTTAAGGATGGCACACTGGGGCTAAGAGAGGAGAGCTCTTCGCCACGGTGTGGCACCACGGCAGGAGCATCCCTCCTTCCCGCCGGGCCGTTCGGGGGGGACCAGGCCGGAGCGAGGGGGCGCCCAGCACCCCCCGGCAGCAGCCTGCGCGTGGGGCACGGGCCGTGGCACTCGGGACGGGCGGGTCCCCGCACGGAGCGGGGCTGTGCCCTGATCCCACCCACCCGGGGCGGGGTTCCCGACGGGGGTGAGGGTGCCCGGCCCTGCCAGACCCCCGGGGGCCCGCACGGCCCGTCCCGCTCCCGCTCCCGTCCCGCGGCTCCGGCCGGCAGGGGGCGGCCCCGCGCGCCCGGCGGCCCCTGCGCGGCATGGGCGGCGCGGCCGGGCCGGGCCGGAGCGGGGCTTGAGCGGGGCCGTGTCCGCGGGGCCCCCGCCCGCCCCGGGCCATGGAGCCGGGCCCCGCGCGGCGCTGGCAGAAGGTGCTGTACGAGCGACAGCCCTTCCCCGATAACTACGTGGACCAGCGGTTCCTGGAGGAGCTGCGGAAGAACGTGCACGCCCGGCAGTACCGCTACTGGGCCGTCGTCTTCCAGTCGGGAGCGGTGGTGCAGCAGCTGTGCAGCGTCTGCGTCTTCGTGCTCACCTGGTGGTACATGGACGCCGGGATGCTGAGCCCGCAGGGGCTTTTCGGGGCGGCCCTGCTCTCCTCGCTGCTCGGCTACGTCCTGTTCGACGCCGTGGACGGCGGGGCTGGGCGGTGGGAGAGCGGGCGGACGCGCTGGGCTGACCTCAAGAGCACGCTGGTGTTCACCGCCTTCACCTACGGCTTCTCGCCCGTGCTGAAGACACTGACCGAGTCCATCAGCACGGACACCATCTATGCCATGTCGGCCCTCATGCTCCTGGGCCACCTCATCTTCTTCGACTACGGCGCCAACGCCGCCATCGTGTCCAGCACGCTGTCCCTCAACATGGCCATCTTCGCCTCGGTGTGCTTGGCCTCCCGCCTTCCCCGCGCCCTCCACGCCTTTGTCATGGTCACCTTCGCCATGCAGATCTTCGCCCTCTGGCCCATGCTGCAGAAGAAGCTGAAGGCCCGGACGCCGCGGTGTTACGTGGGGGTGACGGTGCTGTTTGCGCTGGCGGCGCTGGCAGGACTGGCCACCATCTCCAGCGTGGGTGCCGTGCTCTTCGCCTCGCTGCTGCTCACCATCTCCTGCCTCTGCCCCTACTGCCTCATCCGCCTCCAGCTGCTCAAGGACAACATCCACGGGCCGTGGGATGAGGCTGAAATCAAGGAGGACCTCTCCAGGTTCCTCATGTAGGCCTGGCCTGGAGGGTCCCTCTGCTGTGAGCAGTACAAAGGTCCTTGCTGGGGGACAGCCCTGGGGAGGAGAACACCTGACTCAATAAAGCCTCTCACACAGCAGCAAGGACCATGTTTATGTTCCCATCAGCATCTGTTTCCAAACCTGACTTTCTTGGGTTTGGTGAGGAAAGTTTGATGAGCAGGGTGGTGTCTGCTCTGGTCGTGCAGACCCATATCTGAATTTGGGGGTGGGGGAGCAGGGGGACGTGCATCCCCTGAGCAGAAACACCACTTGGAAACGCACATCTGGCTCAGATGTGCCCCATGGGCCCTCAGTGTGTGCACTTCCCTGGGGAAGAAGGAGGGGAAGGGGCTGGTGAGGGTCCCTGCGGGCAGGGTGGAGGTGCAGGGTCGTGGGTGCTGAGGGACCTGCAGGACTGAGCACAAGGGCACCTGCTCACCTGCACTCTCATGCACAGCCTCATGACACTGCCAGATACCACACTATCCTAAATCCTTTGGGAGAGGAGGGGGTGAGAGGGCGTGATGCCTTCCTCTCATCTCTCTTTCCAGAGGCTAATGAGGCCTCACTGCAGGGCCAGACCCTGATCCAGAGGGATGGAGCTCAGCACAGCCCGTCATGGGTGCAAACCCAGCTGGGGAGATGCCACGCCGTTTGGGACAGCGGGGGAGGTCTATCAAGATCTGGTCCGGCACCGTCTGTCAGATGTCCGTCTGTCCGTCACCGCTCACACCGCAACAGAGGGCGCTCCCGGCAAACAAGTCCCACTGGAGGCGAGGCCAGGCCAGGCCAGGCCGGCCCCCGTGCCGGGAGGGCCTCCCTGGCGCTTTCCCTTTCCCTGCTCCCATCTGGCACCATCCCTCGGCAGCCCCAGCCCTGCTCCGGCCACCCCGGGGAACAAACCCCTCCTGAGCCAGCTCTGCCAGAGGGAAGGGATGCCCATACTCTGCCCCAGCCTCACTGCACCGGGATGCGTTTGGTATCACCCGGGTTTTTATAAACTTTTTTGGAAACCCAGCACTGCAGAAGTGCAGCTCTCTGCTCGGTTTACCCCATCCCCGGGAGCACCAGGGTCTCATCCTATGGAGCAGGCGCTTGCCGCGCTCCTCGGGTTTTCTCGGAAATGAGCAACCCCCGGCGGAGTCCCCAACACCTCCAGCGCTTTGTTACAGCTCCTGCCAAGTGTTAAATGTTGCTGTTGTCGTCATGGTGACAACTACATCTCATTTTGGTTTTAATTAAAACCTGCAGCAGTTTGGAGCCCGTGCTCCGGTCTCGCAGGGAATACAGAGTAGCCAGATGTCAGAGTCAAACTGACATTTTTTAGGTCTTTGGAAAGGAGACTGTTTTTTTTTTTTCCCCAGGGAGGTTTCCCAGATTGCTGCTCAGTGACCAGGATGTCCCATTTGACCCTGGGCTAATGCCAGTGTAACGCTGCCATCCAAAGCTGATTGGTTAGCACACAGCTCGAGTGTAAATCAAAAAAGTAACTCAAATCTCACCTGCCTGGCCCATCTATCACAGCGGAGGCTACAGGAAAGCAGAGCTGCTGCTGCACCCATTCCCCCAAGGAGAAATATTTCCTCAAAAATACTCTTCCCAAATTCACACTCTCAAAACCAGCTCCGGGTTAGGAAAAGCAAAACTTGACCACCCAGACATTCCAGGTGGAGACAGGCACAGGCTGCCACCATCACCTCAGCCAGAGCAGGAAGCCAGTGGATCACCTGTGCAGATCCCTGGGCTTTGACTGATTCAGCAGCCCCATCCACCCAGCTCTAGGTGGATGCAGGCTGTGTCCCACCCAGCCCAGCCCGCCACAGGCAGCTTCATCCCTGCCCACAGCCACAGGCCCCTCTGCCCTGCCCAGCTCCCTCTCTTCATCTCCTCCTTACAATCAGTCAGAATTCTAGGATTAGAACAGCATAGTCTCAGTGCTTGGCCAGAGATCTGCAGGGAGAGGCTGAGCCCTCCCCCTCGCTTGGCCACACAGATACCCTGCTCTCCCTACGCTGGGAGATGAAAATATAAATCCAGTCCATGGCCTGGATGCTTAAAGGGACACTGAAGGAGGAAAAAATGCAAGAGAGAGGCAGGGAAAGGAGAGGAGGAGACACAAAAAGGCCAGGCAGGGTTTCCCTGGGACTTCCCTGACCTTCTCCTGAGGACACACACTCTGCAGTGCTGCTTAAGTTATTTAAGCTGCTGCAGAAATGGCCATTATGAGTCTGTCTACATGCCTGAGGTCAGAATATTCTCCACACAACAAAATTTTGCCGTAGCTCTACGTGCATCCAGTAAGGCTGGATGCCTTTTGGGCCTCTGCTACCTGAGCAAAGCATTCTCTGACAAAGCCCCCACTGAGAACAAAAAAAATAGGTCCTCAGTTCATGATGCAACCAACGCATGGTAAGGAGTTAAATGTAGGTTTGCATTACAAGGAAATTTCTTTCCCTTAGGTTTCTGAGTCCACTGAGATCAGTCCCTCAGTGGGACACTGTCCTTTCATTTGAAGCTGTCCAAATGAGAGTAACTGAAGTGGCTGGGGACAAGCCTTGCTCCTGGGGGAGCCGCTGACACGTGCAGTCTGGAATCTCCATCTACAGCCTCTGCTGCAGGGAAAGGCAAGTGTCAGCCACCCACACTGTGCTGTCAGGGGGCCACGTCCCTCCCTGTGTGGGAGCCTGGATCTGAGAAGCCTGGAAAAAGCAAAGCTTTAGTCTTAAAAGGTAAGATCCTTGTATCTCTTCAATTCCCACAGTAACCACTAAGCTTTTTTCAGCTTTGTGATGTGAGAGGCAACAGCAACAACATGAATGATCACGAAACCAAAACAGGATTTTGGTCCTAACCCACTCACTGAAAAGCAGCCTTGGAACACATAATGGCACCAGCTGGTGCAACACCCTAATCCTTCTCTACCTGGCCACAGAGCAAACACCACTGAGGGCTGGGAACAGCACAGACAAGGTTAAACAGCTTCTTCAAGAAGTCACTCCATGAGCTGATGCTAAAGAACACTCCAGGGTTCCCCAGCGCACCCGTACCTGCGTCTTTCTACTTAGGATATTTTAGAAATGGCCACCAGAAACTCATGAAGTTTGGAGTCCTACTTTCAACAATATTTTTTATCAAATATTTCCTAAGAAGGCAAAGATCTGTGTCAAGGGTTTACCACCATAAAATGTCCTGAGAAACAAGTTTGTGCCTTCCACCTAATGCCTGGAGGCCCTCTGGCAGCTGGGTGCTGTAGGCAAGGCCATTCGGCTACATCATCCACCTTTTATTTATTGTTGGTTCATCTGTTGGTACCATGTCATACCCCAGAAGGAATACAGTGAGAGCTTCCCCCAGTGCAGAACAGATTTTCAAACAACCTGAAAAAAAGCAGCTTTTGAAGTTCAGTCTGTTCCCATTCCCTCTTACCTGGAAGGTGAAGCATGGGCAGAACCTCCTCGGGAGCTTGCTGGGTGCAAACACTGCTGCTTCTATAGTAGTTTCCCAAAGAAAACAATTCCTGAACTCTGCTGAGGTGTTTTTTGCCTCACTACCTGATGGTGACGAGTTCCACAGATGAAAGATGCAGCCAACCTGAGCTGCTCCATTCCTGGGACTGTTGTGTTCCTGGGATTGTAGGAGCCTCCACTTCTCCCTCTCCCAGGTTGCACCTTGCCCATCACTGTACTCTCTCCAGCTCCCACAATTCCTAGTTTAGCACATGCAGTTCAAAGGTTGGCAAAAATGACTATTTGGTTGGGGTTTTTTTCCCCCTTTTTTGCTAATACCATTGCTGTTTCCTCTCTTCTACTCTACCAAAGACAAAGTCTAAGTGAAAAGAAAGAATAATCAGTGTAAGTCTGCAGCTCTCTGGGCTTGCACTCCCTTATAATTTGAGCAAACTCAGTGTCTGGCATTTACCAGCTCATGCAGGTGGTTTAGCAGCTCCCTGGATATTTGAGAAGTCAGCAGAGACCTAAATCAGCTGGAACAGGAGGAATTGCCCAAATTCAGCAAAGCTGTGTCAGACCCAGCTTGAAAACGAGCCTGTGGGTTGTCAGGCCCCTTCTAGACACACAGAATGATCTCCCCCCCATCCCCTGAGCAGCCTGGCTGCAGCTCCTTCTCATCACCAACTCCCCACTACCAGGAAACATCTTTTTTGTGCTCCCGAAACAAAGGCTGGACTCTGATGCTGAGGTGCCTCCTGATTTACCTCTGTGGTTTCTGAGATATCCCTTCTTTCTTTTCCTATGAGAAAAAAAAGTTAGTAAAACCCATCAGTTTTCTCTTTTCTTTCCAGCCTTACTCTCCATATCCTTCTCTGGCACCCAAAACAAGCACATCTCCTAAATGTTAAATCCCCCAATTTTATCTTTCCCATAGGGACAGACACATTTGGAACCCCAGAGGTAGCTACTTACAGCTGTTTGAGCTCAGATGCTCCAGTGAGGGCAGCTTGCAAGGAATTCAGAGGTTTAGCTTGAAAAAAGTGGTCAGAGCAGCTGCACTTTAATTATAATTGTGCAGATTCATCCCTCTAGAGACTGCTGCAATCTCCTCCTTCGAGTTTCTGCTCAGCCAGGTGCTGCTGCTGCTGCATTAGACATGTTTTAGGACCCTGCTGGCTATCCTTCCTGCTAATGCTAAGCCAAAGCCATTTATATGAAGCAATCCTGGTGGTTAATGAATTCAGAAGCAGTGCTGGAATCCCAGCAGAATGTCCATCCCTCCATCCACCACCCTGGAGGGTGGGAGCCTCCAGAGAGCCCAGGTAATTTCTTCCACAGGGTGTGAATGGCTCCATTTGAGAAAGAGTGGGTAGACCCTTCAGTGTAAAACCACCACACATTCCTTCTGTAGTCAGAATTTTATTATTTTCTTTACATCCAGGCTTATCATTGACATCTGAAAATAAAATCTTTCATTTACAAGTAGGCTAGTGCAAATTAAAGGTAATTTTGGACAAAAAAAAAAAAAAAAAAAAAAAAAAAAAAAAAAAAAAAAAAAAAAAAAAAAAAAAAAAAAAAAAAAAAGACCTTGCATGTAACACAAAGGAAATGTGTGTGTTAGGATGATCTTCCTGGAACAGCTCGTGGAGGTCGCCTAGGAAAAAAACAAAAAATAACCCAAAATTCACAGAGGGGGAGATTTAAAACAAAAGGTCAAGATATAAGGAAATCACTCATATACAAAATTATCTTAATTAAATGGGTTAAGAGAAAAAGGCACAGAACATGCACATTAAGGAGAAGAGCGAGAGTGAGATTAGAATCAGTTGGCCACCAGCACAGCCTCAGCCTTCATCCTCACCACTTCCCATCTGACTTGCTGGCGCCAGAGAATCGGGACAATCACATCACAGGTGTGGAGGTCGCTGGTCACAGGCTCTCTAATTTTCTTGCAGCAAATAATATCCTCTGGAAGAGCTTTTCCCCAGGCAGCCTTAAAATTCTCACCACTATCTGCTTCAAACACTGTTCTTGGAGTAGATCTTTTGTAAGTGAGATTCTGATGAAGCGGGGAACGATCAGACAAGATGGCCTGGGGGTGGATTGGGGTACCTGGAGGGGATGTCGCTGGGAAAGGTTAAAAACGTGGGTGATGGCACCTGCCAAGCGTGGCAGGAGACCTTTGGCAGCGATGGCCCAGAGCAGTGGCTGGAGAGGAGCAGATGCTCCTCCTGTTACCCACACAGAGGCCTCAGCTCTGACCAAAGCTGAACCAAACTCCTGTGGGGATCTAAGGTACTCCAGCCAGAGGGGACATGAGTGACACTGCTGTTCACTGAGGGGGAGTGCACACACTGCCCTCAGGAACAGCCACTGGTGACACCCCTCCAAACATTACAGCAAGCAAGGGAATACAGCGGGGGTGTTCCTGCTTTGCTCCTCCCACCTTTTGCTCCCTGCTTTCCCAAAACCTAAGGACCAACTCAGTGAGTGTGGTGCTCCCACAGGAAGCTGTTGTGCCACACAGACCATCTCCAAGCGCTGACTGCAGCTACTTGGCTCACTCTCATCTGAAGGAGGAACTGAGTAATCAAGACATCTGCACATTCGTACACAGCCACTTTAGGGGGAATCCCTTCCAGACACAGCACATACACAGGCACATTCTAACTCCAGCTCCAGCTCTGGAGCACTCAGCCTAACCCCGTGCTTAGCTCTGAATCTCCCCAAAACGTGCTTTCCCCAGCAATGAAGTGAATCCCAGGTACTGCTTGAAAAACATTAATCCATTTCCCAGCAAACCATCTCTGCAGCACTCCAAGTCCCTTGCAAGGGAACAGGCTGAATGTTTCCCAAAGGGTTACATCTTCCCCGTCTGCCCTTTAATGACATCTCCAGTGATCCAGATTCAACACACATCTCTGATAAATCCTCCCTGCAGTCCCGACCCAGGCAGAGTGTGGAATGCTGAGCTGATGGTGCGAGAGACAGAAGACCACTCATGCACATCCAGAAAGTAATAATAAAAGCCCATCAAGAATGACAGTTTATTTCAGGTTCAGAAATGCAGCAGAACATTTTTACAGCAGGTGCATGTGACGCTCAGTAACGACCATGGTTTCGGGAATCGACTCGCTGTGCTCAAAGGTCAACACCAGGAACCGTTTACAGATTATGAAACCAAAGGCAGATGTTTTGTCTCATACGAAGTAGGGCATTAACACACAGAGCAAAAAAAAATCAGAAAGAAATTAAGCGTTTGCTTCTTACAAAAAGGAGTCATCGTTTACCCCGTCCTGGCAAAGGAAAGAGACAGCAGTAAAGCAAACGGCCGGCAAGGCGGGACAAATCATAGATCAAGCAAGAGTGGAGGACTGTCTGGACGGGAGGAGCCATCGGTATCAGCTCGCCTGCAGACAAAGCAAGAGGAAAGACAGGCAGAGTAACATTCATTTACACAAGGGAGCTGTTCTGCTGGAGCCCCGGGAGGATGTTCAGTGCCACACGGGGGGAGCTGTGCCAGGAGGGCACCAGCAGGCTGGATGCCTCCCGGTGGCACAGGAGCAAAGGAGGTCTGCTCTCAATTCAGGAGGTTTGGACTATTTTAAGACAGAAAGACAGAACTAGCCAGTAATCTCTATATGCTGTGTGCATCATGGTTAGTGTAGCTGCCTGCGACAGAGAGGATAATATTTTCTATGTTATGCTTTAACATGAAATGCCATAATCTATAATGTATCTCCTTTAATATAATAAATAATCTACTTTTACAAGGCTTACTCAGAAAGTGCAACAAGATCAGCAGTAAAATAAACACACATTAACTATGTACATGAGCCTTTTTGTTGAACATACAATCTTTTTAACCCTAACACAAGATCCCTTGAGATCCAAGGCGGAGAGCTATTTATGGCATTCCCAAGCTCCTCAGCTGTTGGCCAGCCATGGCAAGGTGAGGTGGGACGTGTTCTCTACGCACAGACCCACCCAGGCTGAGCCTAAATGCAGTACTAGATGAGCACCCTCCTGAACTTAGCAACTATGTCACCCAGATCATTATGTTCCTCACATAAGATCAGAAACACCGTGGTTGCTTAATCAATGCTCCACTCCTCCCTGGCAGTGTCCTGAGCTTTGCCAGAGGGAAATCAAAGAAAGGGAGAGCAACCTGCCCCTTTTCCAATAGAGAGTTCAGACCTGGCTCATCCTGTGTAAGTGGGTGTGCAGAGGGGCCAGTGTGAGGAGCCAGTCCCTCTAGCAGATCCACAAGGTGCTCATCTGCTGTCCTTTGGGCAGCGAGTGAGTTGCTGCCAAGGCTGCTCCTCGGAGAACAAGGGACAGGACTGGCGCAACTCGTCAGCTTCAGGGGTGAGTGGAGCAAACAAACCCATTCCAGGCACTGCAGAGCAGGAGGAAGTGGGCCAAGGTTAGAGGACAGCACTTACTCAATTGGATGTGGCAATTTCTTGGGAAGCTCTTAGTGTTTTTCCTAGAAACAATTCTACATAGTTTATTCTGAAAAGCGTATATGCAAGAAGAGGTGAAATTATCGAACTCTGGATCTGTGCTCACAGATATTTATTAACCTGCACACCTAAAAGTGTTGCATTTGAGGCACAGGGCCAGACTTAGATGTGATCTGGATGAGGATGCAGAGGAAGGAGGGCTGTGCAGCTGTGTCCCACGACCTCAGCATCGAGCGCAGAAGCAGATGGTGCTGGCGCCTCCCTGCCTCCTCCTCCTCTTTCGGGTAAATCCACCCTTGAGAGCTTCATTTACAGTTCTGCTGAGAAATACACTTTCTTGGGGGGCAGAGCTAAGGACAGTGCTGAATTGTACTACCTACTTCCTTACACTTGGCAGAAACAATCATTAAAGTAAATTAAGGAGTCTCAAGTACAGAGAATTTAAAAACATGTTTTTAGGCCAGCACGTCTGTCATCTAATTGAGGCATTACCACCCTCGTGTCCCGTGCAGCCACACTGGTCTGAATCACCTCCTGGAAGTGATGTCTCTTCCCACTGACCACAGGGGACCTTGGACAACTTAGCTGAGTGTAGGGGGTGTGGTGGGATAAACCCAGAGCACGGCCCTGCAATATCACAGCATGGACTGGGCTGGAAGGGACCGTGCAGTTCATCTGGTTCCAACCCCCCTTCCACTAGACCAGGTTGCTCAGAGCCCCTTCCAGCCTGGCCATGAATATTCCTACCACTGAATGAATACAAAAAATTGGGATTGAAGTCACGTACTGTGGCTGAGGCACTATGCCTAGCTTTCCACCAGCAGGCAGCTGCCAGTCAGCAACAGAGTCCTGATAAACTACATGAAGGTTTGCTTGCAAGGCAGCAGCATGGACTGCTATGGCTATTTATAAAAATATACCCAGCAGATGCATTGCAGGTCACAGCAGAGAACACTAAGCAGTGGAAAACTGTGTAGAACACAAGAAAAATCATAAAAATATATGTTTGCTTTTTTGTAGTAAAAATTACTATGACTGAAGTTGTGTTTGTAACCTTTCCTTTCCTTGAAAGCTGATTCTGTGCACTTGGTGTTGGAGATCTGGGCCTGTTCCCCAAACAAACACCAGCCACTTAAGGAGTTTTCTGAGATCACCAAGATGCTGGTGCTCTGACGAACTCCATTTTCACTGTGCATCAGATGTGACCTCTACACTCCCCAGGCATGTCTCACAAGTATGAGCTTGACAGGAAATTAAAGTTAAGCTGACATACAAATCACGATGCTTTCCCAAGCTCATCTCTCTTATGCAAGCTGAAGCACAATTTGCTGCAGTGGTGAGCACAGCTAATCAGCAGCCTGGGAATACTTAATAGGCTAAATCCCCATTTGTTGTGGCTCTTTGATTGGATTCTTCCTAACCAAAGGGCTACAGCATACTGGAGCCCTACATGCAGTCTCAATAAATACATTTATTAGACTGATTATACTGAGGGCCTTTGAAACCACCAATTGCTTTGCCTAGGGATCTGAAACCATAATTGCAATAGCAGCAATTCCCATTTTCTGAAGGAACAAGGCCAAATTCCTCTCTAGTTTAGTTCTCTTAACTCAGTAAATTTCAAGTTTTAAGGGTGACACCGACCCTTCAGTATTTAAAGTGAAGTAATGCAGTTAAGACAAGAGGTTTTTATAACACATTAATATATAATGTGCAAAACAAGAGGCAGAGAGGACCTCTGCAAGCGAGCAGCTGCTAAAATAATCCATTGCTAGGATGCACAGCTGAGCACTTCCAAGAACCTGGATGGATAAAGTGTGCAGGGCCAAGTGATCCAAAATGAAGAATCTTCATACAGGGGACCTTTATCAACTGGCATGAGACAATATGGCAAATGTCTCAAATCCAACCCAAACCCTTGGGAAGCTCAGCTGCCAGTCTAGGCTGGAGCTCTGGGAATCAGCTCACGCAGTGGGCAGAGGAGCGGTAGCCCCTGTCCAGCTGTGCCTATATCTCTCTATCTGTATCAATATCCCCTTCTGTTCCACAAAATGACCCAAAGCAGTGCTCAGTTCCCAGGATTCTGCCACACAGCACATTTATACACACTCACACTGGCCCAGGGCTTCCCTTGGGTGGGAGTGCAAGTGTGAGCAAGCACTAGCAGAGGACAAAGCGAGCTCGGACACGCTGCTCTGTCACGTACTGGCTCTTCAAACTGCCCTTTGCCACCCTTGCTGCAGGGTGAGGCAGCTCCACACCAAGCCCTGTGAGCTGGGGCAGCAGCCTGGTCCTTACCAAACCAACCAACCCGGCACATCAGCTGCCAGTGTGGATATAAAGTGAAATGTGCTGTCCCACACACCCCCTTCTTGTTTAACAACATCCCTTAGAACCAGACTTTGGATAAGGAGAATTTAGAGCAGAAGCCAAGAGAGACATGGAGGTGTGGGGCCTTCAGAAGAGCTTGGTAAGAAATCACATGGCTTTTCTTTGCCCAGTTTATCCATTACAAGAGAAAACTGGCATAACTCTGTAATTCTAAACGATAGACAACTTGGAGGGTACCAATAGAAGCAATATTCCTTTCAGGTAAGAGGAAAAAAAGCAGCAGATCAAATCAACACATGCACAAACACACACAAAGTCAAGCCCTCCATTTGCTGTAGAGGACAGTGAGCACAGTTGCCTGGGTGAAGATATGTGTCAGTAAGTTAGCTAACACCAGTTATTGCAAAAGGAAAAGTCAAGGCAGCACAGACCTTCCCAAAACATTTAAGACCTCATAAACAATGCAGAATGGACAGAGAGTATATCAGTAAAATTGGTTACTTGCCTACAGATGTCCATACATGCGACTATACATTGGTTATTGCGACAGTTACCAAGCAATTTGTTCCACATATTTGGTTAACAACGAATGACATGCCAGAAACTCCTTTTAGTCTAACAGGGATGAGTCTAACGGACGAATGACAGTGGGCCGAGTAGGTGAAGGGGGTGGTCTTCGACTGGAGAGAAAGAGAGAAGAAACAATAAGCACAAACACTGAGAACAAAGCTGGCACTCTCGCCATTGTTACAGGAACATGCACATGCTCGTGCACGCCACAGTCTTATTTCCACGAACACTGAAGCACGACACCCACAAGCACCCACAATAAGGAAGGAGGCAATGGGTTTGCCAGGTGCCTGCCATGCCTTAGCCCCCTCACCCACCAGACAGCTCTTCTTGCTGATCCACAGCCTGCGTGTTCTCCAAACACAGTTACCTTCTTGTGCCATGGAAACCATCCAGGGAGGATCATTATTCCCGTTTTCTTAGGGGCCAGTCCCAGCCTGGACAGCCACAGAGCAGACTTATAGGACTGGGGAAAACAGCCTGCAGTGATTTCAGCTGCTGTTTGCAGAAGCAGGAAAACCTGCAGCTTCTTGCATAGTTGGGCCAACTGGAGTCACGTCAATGCGCCTGAAGTTGAGGCACAAATTTCACGCTGTATATCAATGGCCAGTTATGAAAATGCCAGTCGTGTCTGGGGCTGCTGGACTCATTCATTTACCACTAATGCATTCCTCTATCAACTTCAGTGCTTAGAAGTCACAGATTTTTTGGGAAGGCTTATGTGCCTTTATTCCATTTTCCTGTGTACTGCAAATGCCTACACTTTAATTCACACTGCGTCATCATTTGGGAAGAGACCACAGTGCAAGAGCTGGCAGTACTATGATCTCCAAGTACATCCCACCTGCAGTCCAGGCTGAGACCCTCCTTCCCTCCCTCCCTCCCTTCTCCAAGGATGACACACCAACTCTGCTGGAGTGGCAGAGTCTCTCCAGCAGCTACTCAACACTTTACCTTTTTGTGTGCAGGTACACTGTTCACATCAGCGCTGTGTGAAGGCAACCCCATCAGCACACTTACAAAGAGTATTTTGTTAATGCTCCATTCCACCTGGGATAAAACACCCCACCACTGAGCAAGGCCTATGCAGAGTCTGAGCTGACAATACCTGTTTGGCCTCCGGTGCCTGCGCCGCTCACACAGTTCTGCTGGCACTGCAATTCGTATGAATAAATTGCCCTAAGAGACTGTTCCTCCCAGCCAGCCCCCTCCTGACCAGCTATCCAGCAGTGTTCTGTTGCTGCAGTTATCCCAATCCATCTCTTACAATGCTTTTGCTCCCCATTTTCTTTAGTGGGAAGTACCAACTTTATTCTTAACCCCAGCCCAATTCACCACTAGAGCTCACAGCTCGTTCCAGGCTCAGAACAGGACTGGGAGCCCAGGGCTCTTCAGCCCCCATCAGCTCCAGCACAGCTCATTAAAGGCCCAGACAAACTGGACAGCCCCTTCTAACCTGTCCCCCACCTGTGAGAGCAGGGACAGGTCTGGCTCTGAGGAAGACTACAAAGGAAACGTGTCTCATTCTGTTAGAGCTAAACTAAAGATTAAAAGACTGTAACAATGTGTTAAGCTTCTTTGAACTGCAACAAAATATATGAGACAAACTTATACTTGACAAAAAAAGCCTCACTCGGCTCAAAGTGGGTCTTGAGCGACAATATTCTCTTTTGGTGAAGAAATGAGAATTTTAATTCCTAACATACAACAAAAACAAAATATGCCAACTGAAGCATTCAAGTAAATCAACAAGCTAAAAAAAAAAAAGGGCAAAATATAATTTCTTCATGGTGTATTTTTCTTACAGGAAAAATGTTACTGTGTTAACCATTGTTTCTTGTGTTGCTCCAGTGTAGGTCTTCTGGACCCATTTCCAAAATTTGTAGTTTCATAAAGAACCACTTCTAAGGCTCTGCATTTCTGCTGGGTTGCATTAAATTATTCCTTTGTTGAAATGCCTCACATTGCATTGTTTAGAGCTTACTGAAAACATCGTATCATGTGTATACAATTTACAAACAAGGGAAAATGCATACAGCTGTCTTCATATCAAATTTAAAAGATACAAGCCCAAACATGCGTTTTAATACCAGGTTGAATGCAGCACACTGGATTCAAATAATGTAATTTAGCCAAATGACTATTTAACACAGCAGGATCAGAAACTGGAGAGCACAGTGGGAGGGTTTCCTGCATATAATCAGTCAAACCAAACCTGAACCAAAATCAGGTCTGAGCCCCATTTCCTCCCTGAACCAGAGCTGGTATTGCACTCCGACTGCTATTTTGAACTTTCATTCAAACCCAGTGCAGACCTAAACAGAAAAATCCCCCGTCAGCTCTCCTTCCCACCCCAGAGCACCACCCACTACAAGGAGAAGCTGACATCCCCATGGGGACCCTCTGAAGAGGAGCTGCTGCCCAGCCACACCAGCCTTGTTCTCCCCACAGCATTGCCTGAGAGGCAGGTCTGCTCAGCCAGGGGACCCTTCAGAGCCAGCCACGCTCTCTCAACACTCCACACTATGGATACCTCCCAGTGGAGACACACGTGTATCTGGGATGTTCTGCTTACATACACTTGCATGTGTCTTCCCACTGGGCACGGATTTTCATGAGGAATGGGCAGACCTCTCCTCAGCTCCAGCCCCTCAAGGGTGCTGCCTTCCTCCCAGCTCCTTAACCCACCACACCGTGACCTCCCCCTGGAGATCACAGGTGCCTTTCAGAGGAGTGGCAGATGTTTGGGAAAGGCAGCACTTGGGAGAAGACCTGCAAAAGCACCGTTCCCCTCCAGCCCTGCTGCTGACAGCCTCCTGGGCTACGTGCAGTTCCCTGTGCTGGCACTGCAGTAAGGGCCACCACGCTCCCGAGCCCCTTGCTGAGCAGAGTGGGGAAGAGACCTCACCTTCCTCAGCCACTGGCACACAGGATCAACTGGCACGAGCTGAAGCTCAAGTCCAAGTGAAGGAAAAAATAAGCCCAGAAGTTACAGAATATTCTGAGTGGGAAGGGACCCGTAAGGATCGTTGAGCCCAACTCTTAAGTGAAAGGCCTGTCACTAGATTTCCTTGTCAATGTGTCAAGTCACTGTGTGACAGTTCCTATACTGCGAGTAGGATTCACAACTTTTTTTTCACCCCTAATAGGAATCTCAACCCCAAAGACAGGAGGAGATGCCATCCTGCACATCTCTTGCCTCTGCCCTGCTCCTTTACACCCGGAGGGGTGACGGGGAGTGGAGTGCTCCACGGGATGGAGAGATGCAGGACTGGGCCACCTTGAGACAACAGAGCCAGCAACCAGTTTCTGGGCACCTCCACAAAGTGCAGCTCTGAGCGGTTTGGGCACCATCGCTTCCCGAGGGAAGGTAACCAAAGGAGCGCTGCCAGAGCCTCCCCGCGCGGAGAAACCGGGACTGCAGAGCGGCAGGGGGAGCTCCAGCCTGCCCGGGGACCGAGCGAGGGAAAACCGGGGAAAAACAACCGCCCCCGCATCCCCGCTCCGCGCTAGCTGCCATCCTAGGGAGTAAATAAGTGAGGAAGCCCAGCGCAGTGTTTAGTCTGGGGCCAGCACACGATAGCGCTGCAGACGGCCCGGGCCGCGGCTCCTCCGCGTTATCGGAGCGGCTCCGCCGGCCCGGGGAGCGCTCCCGGTGCGGAGCTTTCGTTCCCAGGCCCCCAGAGGCGGCTCCCGCTTCATGGAAAGTTCCTCGTAAAAATGTCACTGCTGTGGGAATTCCGATTTGGTTCTTGTCTACAGCATTTCAGCGGGGTTTTCGAGTTCTAGGGCCTAGCCCCGCTGCCTGGCCCCTTTAATCAGCCTTCTTGTCTTAGGGGGGGGTTGAGGTTGTTGGTGTTTTGTTTTGCTTTTTTGGGGGGCGGAGGAGAAAAAGAAAAGGGAAACAGTGTTTGTAAAAGTTAGTGCTAAAGGGGCAGGGGATCATAGGTCCCCCCGGAGTTGAGTGAACGAGTCTGCAAAAAGAATCAAGTTCTTCTAACTAGCACACATTAGGCAGACGTAAAGAATTTACCAATGAAAATTGTGGACTAAGTATGTATTTAATAACTCCCTGATGTTGCTGCAGAGACTCCTCCTTTGAAGAGCTCAGTGGGGTTTTGAATGGAGGGTAGCTCTCACCCCCACGCAAAAACTTTTTTAAAAAAGGAAAAGTTTTACATTTATTTTTAACCTAAGCAGAGCACTCTGTGTTTTCAGTTTTAAAGAACTCCTAAAAGCTTTAGCTAGGCAAACGCAGAGCAAAAGAAACTAAATAAAGCAAGTCTAGACTTAAAATTCGATCAGAAACATATGGCAGTTCTTCAAGCATTTGCTTTTTGAGAAGTGCTATCGCTCCCCACACAGAGTCCACGAAATACGCTTTGAGTGAAGCATGGCTGTAATTACCCGCTCAGAGAAGATGGCTTCTCACAGCACAGCCAGCGCGCTGCTAAATAAAAGGCTTTCATTTCCACTTACATTTTACATTCCTGTTTGCTTGTGACCACCAGAGAACACTTGCGGAAAGGCATGCACATAACTATATTTTACTATACATCCCATAGATCTGAAACTGTGAACACAAGTCCATTATTCTCTCCCTTTTCCATGGTCTTGGTTTCCCTGTAACGCAGCCCGGTCAGAGCACCCTGATACGTGACATTGTCTTTGCAGAATTTAAGAAGAAAATGCTTACACAAAATTTCTAAGCGGCTTTAAGACGGACTGCAGGCAAATCTTGTTTTAGGTGACAGTACAAATCTGGATGGGAGGCATACAGCTAAGAGGACAAAAGAGTAACTTCAGGTGAGGAATAAATCAAGTTTCCTGTTCGGGTGATTATTTAGAGCGACTAAGTAGCTTGGTCTTGGGATAGTTATAATGCCTTGACTGGTTTTATTTTTATCCTGTTTCTCAGGTTTTCTCTGTTTCAGTAAGATCCTGAGAGATCCACACCCCCTGCTTTTCCTGGTTGTTACATCAACCTGTCTAACTTTTATACTGTACCTCTCAACCCCCATCAGCCTCTGGATTCGGAAGAAAATCCAAACCAGAAGTGAAACTACTGTAGCCATCATGGTTGAATAGAGGCAAGACATGGTTTGTAGAC